GCTCCTCGCGACAGCCCCTCCCTGGCCGATTCCTCTGAGGAAGGATTTACTGACTCAGAGACGGGGCACCCTTTGGCACCCGCGTCCAGACCTCTGGAAACTTCATGTCTGGTCCCTGGACGGGACGCGGAGGTTCTAGGTGGCCTACCCCAAGGGACCTGTCTCCCTCCACCCTTAAAGTTTATGTCGCTGCGCTCGCTGCGAACCACGACCCCGTAGAAGGGAGGTCGTTGGGGAAGCATGACTTGGTCGTCAGATTCCTTAGGGGGGCGAGAAGGTTAAATCCTCCACGGCCCCCCCCTATACCCTCTTGGGACCTGAGTCTGGTGCTTACGGCACTACAGCAGGCCCCGTTTGAGCCTTTACAGGCAGTGGAGCTGAAGTTCCTCTCAATGAAGACTTTGCTCCTGCTGGCATTGGCCTCTATCAAGAGGGTAGGGCACCTGCACGCATTTTCGGTCAACGATTCGTGCCTAGAGTTCGGGCCGGCTGAGTCCCAGGTAACCCTGAGGCCCCGGCCCGGCTACGTGCCCAAGGTTCCCGCTACTCCCTTCAGGGATCAGGTGGTGAACCTCCAAGCGCTGCCCTCGGAGGAGGCAGACCCAGCCCTAGCTTTCCTCTGTCCCGTCCGAGCCTTAAGGTGCTACGTAGACCGGACGCAAAGCTTCAGGACCTCAGACCAGCTCTTTGTCTGTCACGGAGGCCGGCAGAAGGGGAATGCCGTCTCAAAGCAGAGGATGGCCCACTGGATAGTGGACGCCATCACCCTGGCTTATCAGGCACAGGGTGTGCCCTGCCCGCTCAGGCTGCGAGCTCACTCAACTAGAGGTGTTGCATCCTCCTGGGCGCTGGCTCGTGGCGCCTCACTGACAGATATGTGTAGGGCTGCGGGCTGGGCGACCCCTAACACATTCGCTAGATTCTATAGCCTTCGTGTGGAGCCGGTATCCTCCTGTGTTCTCACCTCAAACGGGTAGAAGCACTGAGAGGCCCCGGCTTCGGGTCGGCTTGCAAGCTCCCTCCTTCAGGGAACGAGGGTTACATACGTAACCGAGACGTTCTTTTTAATGAATCAGTTGAATCAAATCTGTTTGAATCAAATGTAGGAGTCTGAATTGGTCAGATGAATCGATTCAGGGCACACTGAACTGAATGGAATGACTGAACTGCAGGTTATGTCCAACTAAAAAAAAAAGATCAATTGTTTATATGTTATGTAATTTCTGAACGTAATTTAAAGGGGTCATATGATGCGATTTCAAGTTTTCCTTTCTCTTTGGAGTGATACAAGCTCTTGGTGGATAAAGAAGATCTGTAAAGTTGCAAAGACTAAAATCTCAAATCCAAAGAGGTATTCTTTATAAAAGTTAAGATTCATCCACGCCTACCTAAAACGCCTCGTTCTAACACGCCCCCACACGTCTACGTCACTATGTGGGAATATTAGCATAATGCTGCCCAAATGTGCATGCAAAGAAAGAAGGCATGGTTTCAGGAACGGCAGTAGTGTTGATGCAGCCATGTAAGGGAGACGGTGTGTGTTTCAGTGCGAAAGCAAAAGCACTTTATTTGGCCTTCCGGAAGTAGATGCAATTAGGAATCATTGGTTAAGATTTATCTACAACAGAACAGCACAACCCAGATGTTCGAATTTGTGCAACGCATTTTATGGACAACAGAACTTTGACTTTGAAAAGAACTTACTTTGCTATGACAATCTGGCACTTCTGAATCAGCGACTGTAAGTATGTTTTGTTATTAGTTTAAGTATTTGCTATTGACTGTTGAAATGTGGAGTTTTGCGCAGCACAGAGTAACGCATCGTGTGTGTGAGGGGAACAGGGTCACATCACAGGAAAGTGAACTGCCTGTCAGAAATCATGGCACGTCAGCTGTCTTAACCGCGGCTTGTGTACTGCATCATCACTGTGTCTGTCACGCGACTCTGTTGCCCTTTCGGGCTTGAACTGATGGTAAAACTAAAGACATTATTAACTGTCTTGACATTTACTTTGAAAGCTGAAGCTGCGATTATGGTAAGGGGCATTACATATCCGACGCGTGCATGTGGTGTTCGGCCAATCACAATGCACTGGGTCAGCTGGCCAATCAGAGCAGACTGCGCTTGTCAAAGGAGGGGGCTTTGTTGAAAACGACGTGTTTGAGAGAAGCAGGGCATAGAGGACCTACAATAATGTACAGTATTTGAAAAATAATGTGTTTTTTTAACATTAAAGCATGTCAACATATTCTATTACACCAAATAATGATCTTTAAAATAGCATCATATGACCCCTTTAAAAATGCTACTTTTTAAGGTTAGTAAAACATAAATCATCATCTTATTTACCGTTTATCCAACTGACATCATGTAGTATGCAATTTCTGCACCACAGCAGAGACTCCACATCATGAAATAATGACCGTTTTCAAACAGGTTTCCCACTGTTTGCCATTGGCTGAGTGAACAGATGAGCTCACACCATTGGTTGAGCAAGTGTTGCTGTGTCTGGATGCTAAAGCAAACAGAGCAATGTTTTGACAGACACAGAGTCACAGCGTTCTGACAGTCTTCTGACAGATCTGACAACTTGACACCCCATATAACATATGCATAACATATAAACCCTGTTTCTCAAGTCTAAAACACTCCATGTAAAATACTCCATGTTGGCAGCTTCTTGCATTATTTTTATCTAATTGATCTGGGAAAACTCATAAATGTGGGTGAACAAAAAATTATGTTTGATGGTCAGTTTTCATATGTAAAAATGCATGAGATCTCAAAGAAAAAATTTTTCAGTTTTCTCTGGCCAAGAAATGTCAGACTAATGTAACCAATGAATCACAGTGTGCTTTTATTTTTATGAGCAGGTTTATTTGCAAAAGCTGATAACCAAAGTAATAGACATAACTCAAAATAGTCAGTGTCTTTCAAATATCCATTGTTTCTAACCTGGGAAAATGTGGCTAATTCATTCATTCTTACTCTAAAGTGTTCATTTTTAGCAACCCGGTAGCTTGCAAACCCTTAGTGTCAAAGCAAGCTGGTAAAAAGGGCTTGTTTTTCTGTCAGACTCGTCTAAAAAATATCTGAGGACCATAATGAATGTTTGAAGCTAATAACTGTGGAAGCTTCCAGAAACTGCAGATGAAACTTTGTGGAATTTCTCACAATTTTGCCACATAAAGTCTGAAAAAGATAAACCATCACAGCCTCTCCAAGGAAACATCTGCTGTTTTCAAGAAATCCCTCTGTCACGTGATCACTGTCATTCACAGTCTGCTGTGTGATATGACGTCTATGAAATAATAATAACGTGCAATAATGTTCTCTAGCATCTGCCGCGTGAGCAATCGAACGCCCCCCGTCTCGCCATAACCTGCCTCTCTGTAGCCGTACGCTGTGGCAGATTGATTTCATCATGCACTGATTAAAATTGATCTGCTAGTTGTTGTTTTTTCAGCCAGACTTGGCATCTGCTTCGCTCCGACTGTCTCGGCGAGTGACACGTACGATATTGCTTCACAAATGGCCACGGTTCTGACACAGATCGATGTAAATATTGTATCGCTGTTTGCTACAAGGAAAACTTGGAGTGCCCCTGCTTTTGATGGAAATATTTATTGGGTGTTTGTGGCTCAGTGCTCAAGCAGAGAGTGTGTTTTTTTTTTGTTTCTCCACAGCGTGTCACTGAGCTAAAGCCAAAACCCGAGCTGATACTCATCAGATTTGGCTCAAAGTAAAAGATGTGATGAAAACCCTTGAGAGAGGCTGTGCGTGGTCTGCCAAACACAGACACGCTGACAGCAATTGCACATGTTTTGTTTTTGCCTGTCCTTCAGAACCATCTGTATGATTGCTTTCTACTGTTTTTAGGATGGCACCGTTTCAAATTAGGACAACAGAGTGGTTTGAAATGCGTTAAAAGCTTGTCTGGCTGAATCACATTTTGCATAAAGAAAATGTTGCCTAATTTTAGGTCCATTAACATAATTTGCATTGTGACGTTTATTTTCAAGACAGTTAAGAGCATTTTACACCCTAATTTTCATTACCATAATGAATCTGGATGTTTTTTTGTAGCTCCCTTATTTCTCAGTGGTGATTCTCATTAGCTTTTTTTGTTGTTGCTGTTATAGTTAGGTTTTGACAATATATGCCAATATATTATTTACATGCTTATATAAAGTAATACTTTTTTATATATTGTTATTTAGTATGTTTTATATTTACTAAATGTTTACTTAACATTGTAATGTTTTGATATTTAATATATTCAATATCAATTTAATTTAATATTTACATTTTTTATATTTTATATTTTTAATCATCAAAAATCATAGGCAATACAACAAATACTTACCTTAGTGTATGAACAAATATGTGTTTTTTGTTTGTTTTTTGCATGAAAGAGATTTTGGTTACACTTTATTTTAAGGTGTTCTTGATTCAGTGTAATTATACATATACTGTAAGTGCTGAGTAATATTAATTAGCTTACTATAGGGTTAGGGTCAGGGGACCCTAATTTTCATTACCATAATGAATCTGGATGTTTTTTTGTAGCTCCCTTATTTCTCAGTGGTGATTCTCATTAGCTTTTTTTGTTGTTGCTGTTATAGTTAGGTTTTGACAATATATGCTAATATATTATTTACATGCTTATATAAAGTAATACTTTTTTATATATTGTTATTTAGTATGTTTTATATTTACTAAATGTTTACTTAACATTGTAATGTTTTGATATTTTATATATTCAATATCAATTTAATTTAATTTAATATTTACATTTTTTATATTTTATATTTTTAATCATCAAAAATCATAGGCAATACAACAAATACTTACCTTAGTGTATGAACAAATATGTGTTTTTTGTTTGTTTTTTGCATGAAAGAGATTTTGGTTACACTTTATTTTAAGGTGTTCTTGATTCAGTGTAATTATACATATACTGTGAGTGCTGAGTAATATTAATTAGCTTACTATAGGGTTAGGGTCAGGGGCACCGCTAAGGTGGGGAAAGTTAGGATGATTCTGAGGGCCCACGCACTTTTGGGGCCCCCAGAGATCTGTTTTAATAGTAGTAACAGTAGTAGTAGTAATGTAATAGAAATTATAAATGTATCTACCAAAGAGTTACAAATAAAACAAAATTACGGCTTATTTCTGTA